CATTTTAATAAATAAATAAATCTTTTCTTATGTAAAATGTCGTTTTAAATAAGTTTCAAGCAAACATTTTTACTTAGACAAAGATGTTCTATAGTAAAGAATTTGTAGTGGTTAGAATTGAAAATTTGATAAGAAGTTTTGAGAAGTAAATCTTTTCTTGTTACAAGTAAAAGTATTACAAAATCAACTTCTATCATATTGCCGACAACTAGATATGCGTAAAAAAAGCTCCAGTCCCAGCATGATCGATATCGCGGTCAGAACTAATACTTGTTGATTGGGAAGAATATATTTTATGATAGTGTAGCACTTATGTCGAATGTCATATTCACATCACTCATTTGTTCTAAAAGTTCATGTGAATATTATTGAGTAACGATCACTTCAGTATTTATTGTTACAATTTTGATAGTAAAATTAATCCTTTCTTTTTTTTTCTCAAGCAGCAGAGTTATCGAACACATAAACGTGCAGAATGAACGAAATATTAGTAAGTATAAAAAAAGTAATAAATCTGCAAGAGGAAGGATAGTACAGTTTGTACAAGATGTCCCGAGGTCATTAACACTGTTCAAGAATCATATTACATTTTTTCCTAGTATGTTTATTACTACGCGCGAAACCAGAACCAAATTTTGTTTTTCAGCCCGTTTACCAAAAAGGATTATTCTCATTCATCACCAATAATTACTCGGTTAGAAATCTAGCCATAATAATTAATTCGACAAAATGAACAATTATCTGTTAAAGCTGCAATATGATAAAACTATTTTGTATTATAAATAGTTTAGTTAATTAGATATCATTCTTATTTCTCGAAAATTGACATCGTTAAATATTCTTTAGACTTTTAATTCCTGTACGATTCTATTTCTTATATTCTTTGAAATGTCCATCAGAATACTTCTTACACTCATTGTCAAATAAATAACTTTCGATTGTCTAATCCAATTTTATATGCCATAAATTTTATTGATTTATTGTCGACATCTAATTGTAATTACAAAAATACAAAATCATATTGTTTCCACTAAATCTTCTGTTGAAATTTTTGTCTTGTTATTACATGATCAATAATCATCCCAGCATTTTAAGTACATGTTTATCTATGCCATTAAAAAGCCAAATTCAATATATCAAATATTAAGAGACCCAATGATGATACTAACAGGCCTATACATACAAGGCACTTTCTTTTCAAATAATCAATAAAAAATGTTGTAATCCTATTCAAGTAAATATGTATTGAATAATTTCTATGAGCACTAGTAATATATATCATTTTAGTATAATATTCTTGTTTACAAATTACATTATAGCAAATGACCTTAAAACTCATGAAGCATGATCAATTGTAAATTATTTATTGGTCATCCTCAGGGTTGCCAACTGTACCCCACAAAAATCTGTACCTCAGGGTTATGCGTTTTGTACCCCCTTTGGACGTTTTTCCTTTACACTATTCAATAATCGGAAATTGTGATACGGAGGTCGCGGGACGACTTGAGATTTTATGGAAATTTGGAGAAGCTAGGTGTTTTTTTGCCAAAATCCGAAGTTAAACGATGTTTTTCAAGAGAAAATTGTGAAGAAACATTAAAAAATTTTCGCTTCGCGAAATAGTAACAGCTGCGTAAGCGTAGTTAACTTTAAAAAATCTTTAAACTTTGTTATATTTTGCAAACTTGACCTATTTTTCCTTCGATGTGAAAGCATTTTTTCTTAAAAAGCTACAAGGTAAAATCGAATATTTTTGAAAAGGCTGAAAAAAGGTTTCGCTTCGCGAAAAATTGCCTCATTTTAGATATTGGGAAAAAATTAATACAAGCTCAAGTGCGAAAAAATGTTGACTTCCCCCTTCCCCCCAATCTTGGCGACCTTGGGATACCCCTGGAAATCAATGAAAATTTCGGCTTTTGCTAGTGTCTTTTTTGAACACATACGAAGTGTTAATCATACTGGCTGACCGGTGACCAATGAATGGAGCCACTGTTGCTTAGACTTGTCTTTTCTTTTTGACTTCTCAATCTCACGCTCGAAGTTAAATTGAGTTCATGATCGATTTTTGGCTGTTTCTCTCGTTTTCGAATATTTCTGTTTATCTTTTTTGCTTGTTCGAAAGACCAAAAAATCATTGTAGACTTTAATTTTTTAACAAATGAACAATGACAATTCCATCCACTCCGGCGTTGACATTATAAAAGAAAACAAAGTACCAGCTGAGCACGAATCCGATAAAATGCTGTTGCTAGCCGTTTTCTCACGTTATATTCTTGTCTTTAAAAAGAATTTGTACCCCACGACTGTACCTCATTCGGGAAAAAATTGTACCCCACGTGTATCCTATTCGAGACCTGAACAGTTGGCAACCCTGATTATTCTTGAAAAAACAATGAAAAATCGAAAAGTACTATTGCCATATAGGATACATTTGGTTCCTATCTATTATCTAATGTAATATGAACATTCAGCTTGAGTAACCAGCTACTAGAACATGTTCATCGTCTGTCAAAAGGTTTGCACGATCTACTGTCTATAAATTTACTTTCCGTTGATTATTTTGAAGAAGAAAAATGAACAAATGAGTAGTCGTTTGCGACAATGAACGTATTGTCAGAACAAAAATCCTAACAAATTTTTCAAATATAATATAACACGACATACTAATAATTATTTGTCAAGTCGGCATTCTCGAATAAAAAACCATGTAAATTCTCTGTATCGAAACATTTACACTCTCGTTGATATGCTACAAAATGAACAATGTTTAGAATATGAGATGATATGGGAGTTTTAACTTCAAAACATCAGAAACGTAAATTCATAACAGATGAATGCTTGATGAAGTTGTGGCAACGTTATAATGAAAGTCGTATTGATATTTCAGTGTTCTTGAAAGCTGCTTGATTGGAATATTTTCAACGTTCATTAAATAGTTAAATACCCATCCTTTCTGTTATTCTAACAATACATTGATTGTCACAATGATTACTCATTTGTTCATTTCTCTTCTTCGAAATAATCAACAGACAATAAATCGTGTACAAACATACTGTTATATACATTTTATTTTTTTATTCGAGATTACCATAAGTATTTGAGTCACTAGCCAGTAAATGTGAAATTAGATAATAAGTAACACATGAGCTAGAAGAGTCAAGTCTGAACTTTGAACAAATAGAAATGATTTTCGTATTCAATAAATATACAAACAACTAATTTATTTGTACTATTTAATGCGACAAAAATGACTCTCATTCAAATTGTCAAATATAATTTTTGCTAGATTATCATGTTAATGTTAGGTTTAACGTAAAATCTGATTTCAAGACAAAAGTATTTCATGTTTCTAATAATAGCTTTTGTACTTTATCTGTTGTATAATAAGCGGTCTTTTCATATAAATAAATACTTACTCAATATGACCTTGTCTTAGTTTATCAAGCGATAGAATACCTAATTTTATTGATATAAATGATAGCTTTTATTGCATACCAATCATCAGTTAGTATTGAATGAATTCGATAACGTTTTATATCAGTTATTGATCAATATTTTTATTAAAAAAAGTTCTTTTAGAAAATGAAAAATATTTTGGAAATCATTCGTAGATCACACAGATGCATTGACAGGTAAATCTTTATTTTAGAAAAAAAAATCGATGAAATCGTCAATTGCATTGGAATTTGCTTCCTTCTTATTTACTTAACATTTAATTGTTTTATTAGCATCACCTTTTGTTTCGTATTCTGTACTTATTGCTTTGATCATGAAAATGATTATTTAATCAAGAGAGAACGAGTACATATGAAGAGTTTGAATCGTATTCCTCTGTTTTTCGATCGCATCCGTCCGTTGTCTATTCTTTCTATGTTCAACACATATACGTAAAAATAGTCTCGATAATTCATCTGCAAACAATGCTTGTCCCTCATCAATTTATTTTCTATTGTCCACAATAGAGACGATCGTTTGTGCTGTCTTCATTACATCCGATAGTCGTTGATCAGAAAAAGGACAAAAATGACATATGTAAGTTTCGTTATGCAATTTCATCCATATTTTTGTTGTTGAAATTTATTATCAGATTTTGTCTTTTTTTTTTTCTTTTGAGAAATATATTTTTAATAATACAATCTAGTGATGAAAAAAATTCATACTTCATGTTATCTTCAAGAGAATATGTAAGTATAAAATTATATTTATACTAAATCAAAATGCTAGTATTATTCAATATAAATATAAACATGCTGATTATGTCTGCAGCTATCTAAAATACATGCATCTCAGATATCTTTGAATAATTTCGTATTTTAGTCTTTATTATGATGATCAAAGTAAAATTTCTTGAATGAATTAAAAATAAGGAAAATATTTAAAGTAATATTAAGAACGTAATTAAAATTCGTCTATTACTCTAAAAAATAGATTTATGAAAATGAGTTTTTTCTTATTCTTGGAAATTAACTTTTGAAAGTTGCACACAGGTCCAAGAATAGTTATTAGAGTATGTAAATAATTTACTGTATAATTGCTTACAAACATCATTTTATTCTATCATCATCTAGAATTTTACATACGACCATATCTGGCATATTCTTCAGCATAAAATCCTCGTTATACAGATGGTATAATTTTTTTTTTTGTATTATTTTCTAATTGTATATAATTAGTTAAAATGATAGTAAATATGAGGAAAAAAACAATTTTTTTTATCAGAAAACCATATGTTCAAAAAAAAGAAAGTCTACCAACAATTTAATCTTGCTTGATACAAAAAAAACACAGATTTCCGTTGAGCAATAAATGCCATAGTTAAATATTGAGAAAAAAAAGATAAGAAGATAAACTATAACGTATAAAAAATGATTGATTTTCATATAAATAGTTATTATGTGACATAATATTATAGGTTTTTATTGAACATTTATCATTATTTTAAGAAAGAAATATTCGGTTTTTGGAATTGAAAGACTTTTCTAAATATATTTCAAAACGATATGCATTATGAAATTCCAAGAGTATTGATATGGTAAACGATTGCTTTGTTTTTTCTCTCTATTACATACATGAAGGATTATATGGATAAGCTTTGAGATTTTAAGTTTCTTTTTTTACACGAAAATTAACATTCTCGTTTAAGATAAAATTACAGCTTATTCAATGCATTTATAATATCTGTTTTAGAGATTTTATTCTTTGAAGTTTTTGAATTGAATATTTGAACAGATAGATGATAGATGTAAAACGATGAATAGGCTTCTTATATTATATTGTTTGACATATGAAAATAGCAGTTTTTTATTCGCAAATATGAATGTAAGCTTGTTTAAAGAATAATATATATTTTGCTGCAATTCATGATTATAATTGTAAGACTTTCTTTTTTTTTTAATTTTGTCATTGAAATACAGACATCATTTACTTTATACATTAAAATATCAAACTTGTACTTATCCTAAGTGACTTGTATGAATATTAACCTATTCTTGTGTTAAATAGTTATGAATGATTGTATTTTAAATAGTTCAATGTTTTTGAAACCCAAAAATAAAATATCACAAAATTTGTTAAAATAATTATATGTAAACATAAGATTATTTGTTAAGAACCTCATTAATAGCAATCTATGTAAACTTATAGTCAACATTTGTTCAAACTGAACAATACTAAGATTTACATACAGCTAAGATATATTTATGTATATAGAGAACAAAAACACAGGTATTAGAACGTAAGTGAATATCAGTAAGATAAGTGTACAATTTTAGTAATAGTGAAAGCATCTATTGCATCATTAAAAAGAAAAAAAGATACGTTCGTATTTGTGATATTGATAATATATCGATAAATAGAAACAAAAATGCTAACAACTAGTCAAATTGATCTTTTATTTATATTTATTAAAAATTTTAAAAATCTAATTTAGATCTGTTCGATTTCATAGTCACCAGAAATTATAGATGTTTTTTTTTTAACAAATCGATAAGAGAGATACAATAAAATTAGGATCTCACTTGGTGATCTTCAGTTAATAGGTACATAAAAAAAACGATTATCTTAGAAGACTAGACATGATATGAAGCAATACCTCTTAATACGTTAGTACTTACAAGGAAACTTCCAAGGTCTTTCCTTTCATATTTCAATGTTTATTTTTTTGTCTATTATATAACACAGTAGTAAAAGGTTCTAACAGTTTTGGATTGCTATCTTCTCTTTCACAAATTATGAATATTTTTATTTTGTCTCTAAAGTGGATAAAATATAATATTAAAAACATCTATTAATCAATCAAAATACAAATTAAAGGTTAGAAAATTGTTTTCCTGGTTTTTTTTCTGATATCTATGTAACCAGGTGAAATTATTGTTTGATAATAGTCTATTCACTGTACATTTGTTATTTTTGTTTTTCTGTTTTACTAGTATTTTTTTCATGTATTTTATCATTAGTCATTTTCTATCGTATGTAACACTTTTTGTATAGGTTTTTTCAAGTCTATCTAAAATACTTTTTTTTGGACCTTTCCTGTAACAGATATGTACTTGTCTTCATTATGTGTTGTAATCTGTTGTCCACCTTGATTAATGGTATTCTTTTCCTCTTCCTATCTAGTTGCTGATCATCTATGAAAGGTATGATAATTGACGTCATTGTTATGGTCCCTTTTCATTTCATGTGCATATATCTCACTAAAGAATTAATATCCTAGTGTCACTGATCTCAGACCACTCTAAAATAATTAATACAAACATACTTAGTTAACAATGGTGAAAATGGACCTTTTTTTATAGTACCTATAAGCAAAAAAATTATTGAAATCGGAGTCGGATGAGAAGGCTCCTGAAGAGATTCTCTCATTATCCAAAATCGTAAGGATCGAATTGTAAATATATATATATGTGTTTTTGCAACATGATTGGAGTTCAAATTTGAGATTGAATCTATTAGACATCGTGTCTTTGTACATGGACCTATACTTTCTCTGGAGTAATCAATAGTAGATACTTATCACTTTTTCGTTCTTTTTGTTATCATTTTGTATACATTATTCAAACTTTTTTACGATCAACCTTAATACAATGTCATCTTGCATTATATAGAGACGTTCCATTTCGATTGGCCTTGTACTCACTAGTCTTACATTAATAACTTTTGTTTATGTTGGTTCTTCTACAAATAATTATTATACAGTGTTGCAAAATTTTCAATTTTCTCATGGTAAAAATCTAAGTCATCCATCATTAGTACGTGTATTATGTTTAATACTAACATCACCAAAATATATTCTTACACGAGCAAAAGCTGTTCATGAAACATGGGCACCACAATGTGATCGTTACTTTTTTATAACAGAATCTCTTGGAAATGATGTAAAATCAAAAGAAAGTAATTTCATAGAACAATTACCTATTGCACCAATTAAAAATATTACAACTGGTTATGATCATCTAACACAAAAGTCAACATTAGCCTTTTTATTTGCATATGAAAATTATTTTAATGATTTCAATTGGTTTGTCAAAGCAGATGATGATACATATGTGATTGTTGAACATTTGAAAAAATTTTTAAGTGAACAAAATTCATCGGAACCTGTTACATTTGGATATAATTTTAAGGTGATTACATTTGAATATATTATTTATCTCGAATAGTATCCTTTACAGGAGTTAAGAATAAGATGTTATACCTATGGACTATAGACTAACTAGAATTATTCTGTGTACTTTTCTTTGAGGAATTTCGGTCAACATAGAAAAACTTACATTTGACTACGTTTGAATCTCAACTCAAGCTATCAATTAACAGTAGACAATTATTTATTTGTTTTAAATATAACTAAGCAAGTAAAGAAAATCTTTGTTTTTATCAAACACAATTTATCGATTGTTATTTAAGCGAACTATGTTTTTAAACTGTTGTTACTTTGATCTGCATAATAGTATAGGACTCATTTTTGAATCAATTCATTTTGAAATAGATACAGCTGAAAAAGATACTAAGTAAAAGTGTCTTTCTTCTGAAAACATTCTACTATTAGTTACAAGAAAAGAGAAATTCAACAAAAAATATGAAATTTATTTTGAAACGAAATCATTTTCTCTATTTTACGATCTTCTATAAAAGTTCAATATTTCGATAATGAAATAGTATGATAATCTAAAAATCCTCAGGCCATATTTCTAAACTTTGGCAAGTTAAATAGATATAAATTATTGAAAATTATTGCCAGTTTATTAAGGTTATTAAAATATCTGTACGATAATAGGATGATGTAGTTTTTCATAGAGCGATGTATTGTAATAATTCGATTCTGTCTTCACTTGAATTAGTGTTCATTATATTCAATTAGATGCCATAAATAAAGTATTTGAATGAGTATAACAATATGTACAAATTATAGATAGATTTTGACTGCGTAATCTGAAACAAGGTAGAGTATAATAGAAGGGCTGGAACAGTGCTTAGCATTAAACTAAAATAACTGACTGACAATGATGAAATCTTTTGAAAAATAATCCTCTTTTTAACGAAAAATTTTCTATAGTGAATATGCTACTTACTCTATAGCAACATCAAATTTGAAACCAACAGTAACTTTTAGGGAGAAAACTTTTATTTCCTTTTTGGTGAGGATATACCGTTTCAGAACAAATTTCATATTTGATTAATTTATTAGTTGTCCCTAGTTACGCTGAAATATTTTCAAAATATAAAAATATTTCTATCTAGTAGATTTTTCTTTGTTTTATCAATTGCAAAAAGAATTCGACTAAACATTAAACTAACCAAAAACAGAAAGAATATTACGAAAAAGAGTGAGTTCTTTTTGAATGAACCTGTTTGACACTCTACAAGTTCTACTATGTCGTTAGTCTAAATTAATTACGATTGAAGATATGATAAAACAATTGAATTGATTTTTATCTTCACGTATCAACATACTGAGTAACTACATAAATAATTTCAATATGCCAAATAAAAAAACTGTCAAAATCAAAAAAAATATTTTGTAGATTGAAACTATATTCATAATTTTTTTTTATTCACAAAAGAAACAATAAAAGCCTTTTTGTTTTATAAATTTTTCTTAAAGGTACACGTTCCAAAAGGATATCATTCCGGTGGAGCATCTTATGTATTAAGTCGAGAATCACTACGACGATTTTATGAAGCACAACAAGATCCAACATCAAACTGTCGTAAAGATGGTGGTAGTGAAGATATCGAAATAGCGAATTGTCTTCGTACAAAAGGTGTGTATCCAGGTAAATCACTTGATAAACAAAATCGTGAATTATTCCATCCACTTCCATTCGTTGATCATTTTCGGGGTTTCTTTCCTGATTGGCTTGCAACATATGCTGAGAATCCACCACAAAGTGTAAATTAATATTTTAAATTGATGTTATTTCACAAAACTAATATGTTTTTTTTTTCTTGATTAGAATTATAATTGTTGCAGTGATCAAACAATATCATTCCATTATGTTAGACCTGAAGAACAATATCTAATGTATTTTCTACTATATAAAACTCGATCAACACTATATATTGACCGACCATGGATTAAAAAATCACATAGCTCTACGATACCGGTGAACTAATATAATAATATAAAATTTATTGAATTTTTTAAATTTCTCTTTTTAATGAAAGAACAGAATGTAAATTAATGCTTAGGCATCTTTATGATTATTGATAATCTTGTTATAGTTTTTCTTTTTCATTAAATCTTTGACTATATAAATATATTAGAAAAAAAAAATATTTATTGATTTATTATATTTCATCGGAAAGTACATAAAACATTTAAAAAATTCTAAGAACTAGTAAAATCCCTTCAATAAGAAGTACATTATATTTATTTGTCTATAGCAATTGTTAGAAGACTTCATAAAAATATTCAATTACAAGCTCGATTTACTTTCGAATAATCTTTTTTGTATTCATCGATATGTGTCGAACTGGTGGCTCGATTATTGCTTAGTGATACTCGTCGATTTAATATCGAAAATTTGATGCATTTCATGAAACAACTATTGCTATCATCTAATATAATGATCGATGTTGAAAAACAGATTACATATCGTAGTATTAGGTAGAAACAAGAGTGAAATCGTACGCTGTAAATAGAGAAAACATTTTACTTGTTGTTAGAAGATGGCAACATGTAAACAAACAATGTTCGTCTTTTTCTTTATGATAACGTGAGCATTACTTATTTGTCAGGTGCATTCTGTACGATCTGTTAATGCTATCTGATGATCGATACAATATTAATAAAGCATTAATTAAGAATATTTTCAACAACGACTATCATGGATCATCTGTGGTATCAAATCCATCATGGTACTGCAAACTGCATATAAAAAATGCTGTTATTATATTTCTCAAAAAGAGAGTTTGAAGATATGATCTATCAGACACATTCAACTGGTCTCGCTTCGTGAATTTAAAAGAATTATTCAAAAGTAAATCAAACATTGTTATGATATCTCCTAGTGTTTGCTGTAGACAAATAAATATAATGTGCTTCTTATTGAAGAGATATTGCTAATTCTCAGAATATTTTGAACGTCCTATGTATTAGATAAAGTTCATCATACCCTTACATTTCAAATTCCTTTTCCTGACTCAGTATCATTCTTGTTTTTTATATTTGTATAAAGTTTTGTTTAAATCTGTAAGTAAAGCTTTAAAAAAAAACGTTTATAATTTAAATTACTTTTAAATTACTAATTTATCTTTCTTTTTTTTGTAAATTATATGTGTTGAAATAGTCGAACAGTTTTATAATTAAGGCTGAAAGAAACAATATCTGATGGATTTGTTTCTATGTAGAGTATGGTCAACTTCGAAATGATGTTCATTTTATAGTTTATTATTATTATTATTAAATCACAATACTGAAGTCATAAATGTTTTCTGACAAGAACAACAGTTCATTTTTGTATTATTCATAAAGCGATCAAAGACATGGATACATATACGTTCGATGCACAATCTCAAGTTTTAGAAGTATTTGTTTACCAAATAAAAACGCTTTCTCGGAGCTATTCATTTCTGTGGATATATCATATACGTTAGATTTTTCAATGATAGTTTAAAAAATATCTGTGAAGTTTTCTTTGATATGTAAAAATAAAATTTTCTAATTAAACTATTCGAACATATTATTGTATCATTTTGAAAAAAAAATGCAACGTTTGAGCTAAACATTTAACAAAAGACAATAGAAATAAATAAATAATAATTTGTCTGATTTTAAACTTTTTTTATTACTAATACATGTGAGGTTTGATAAAATCTTATTCTTTTCATTCAAAAGAAACAGATGTTGAATTGTTTCAACAAAATAATCTTCCAATTAATTATTTAAAAGTTTTAATATACTTCTGTTTACGAATAATCAATATCATGAATACCACAACGTTCTATATCAGTTCACATTTATTTTACAAACCATTTAGGAATAATGAGAATATTTTGATTTATAATCGGATTTTTGCTATTATTATTGATTCTATGTTTGAATAGGTTTTTTTTTATCATAGTGCTGAAATTATCTCACTGATATAGTTTATTGACCTTGGAGATTTTGCATTTGTGAAAGAAGTATTCAAGAATTAATACATGCAAATGAGCTTATCAAGAAAGAAAACAGATGTGTATTTAGCAATCCTCATACAGATCCAATGTTAAAGAATATTGATAAGATGAATATATTTCGATGCAAATGTCTATGTTTTTTTTTTGTATAAAAAATATTTCATTTGTCAATTGTCTCTGTAGAATTTATTTTGTTTAAATAATATAATAATAATTTGAAGTCGGTGAATTCAGTTCAGATCACAAGTACTATTCAAAAAGTTCTTTTGATAGCACATGATCTATTTCAACAATTCATTAGCTTATTAGATATGAACTTATGAGTTTATTATTCCTTCATGATAGTTAAATACTTATTTACATAGTATATTTAGTTGAAAATATCTATCTTATCATGAATTGTTTTATCTATGCTTAGGAAAATTGTCATAGAACTGCACTTATTTTCTTTAGTTATAAAATATTGTATGTATGTAAATACAATATATTGTTGACATATATAGCATAACTGTGTTATCATGAATATTTAATATGTCAGCATTTTTTATTCTCATATGCTTTAGATTAAGAAGTTTGACTCAAAATGTCATACAAAAAATATCGACTCTGTCTCTATTCAACATAAGAAGTTTGAACTTTTTTTTACAAAGAAACTAGCAATATCTTTTTTTCTTCTGATATATCAAATACAGAAAACAAAATGACTTGATATCAAATATTTCGATGCATAGTCATGAGAGAGAAACAGTACTATCGTATTTGTCTACGTAATCAGAAGTAAATATAAAGGGATGGACGAAGTGCCGCTTATAAATGTATATATTTTTGGTATTGATTATTTCGAACACAGCTGCAATAAGATTCACATATTAGAAAAAAAAAACTACTAGATGCATAATATGTCAAAAATTGAAAAAGATGAAGATGTGCAATATTACCAATAACAACAACAACGTATGACAATCGAAAAACAACACAGCATATGATCAATGGGTGCTTTTTTTTTGCTGTTTTTAAGTCAATCAAATAAACGAAATATTGTAATATGCGACATACTGACGTCTCAATGATAAATTATTAGATAAAAGCAAACTATTATTACAACTGTTAGTATGCTACCTTCTCGTTTCCTTTTCTTTTACCTATAAGTTATTTTCACGTTGTAATATTTGATAAAAGTTTTTATCATGTTCCTTTTGTTCTTTTTTTCTTATATTTATCATTTAAACTACGAACGTCATTTATGAAATGTTGTCTTTTATTAATAACAAACGTTTCATTTCGATTGCTATTATCCTCACTCTTATAACATTATTTTCAGTCTATTATATCAGTTTTCGTACGAGACATTATGATATTGTTGTTCCAAGTTTTCAATTTAATCGCAGTAAAATTCCTACTCATATAATATCACCACGTATATGCTGTTTAATATTGACTTCACCTAACAATTTTCTTACACGTACAAAAGCTGTCAATGACACTTGGGCACAACGATGTGATCGTTATTTTTTCATAACAGAATATTCTCAAGAAAAAATGACGTCTGAACAAATTAAATTTACAAAACAAATACCTATTGCACCACTAAAAGGTATTATACCTGGTTATGACCATCTAACAAAGAAATCAGTATTAGCTTTTTTATTTGCATATGAAAATTATCTTAATGATTTCGATTGGTTTGTCAAAGCAGATGATGATACATATGTGATTGTTGAACATTTGAAAAAATTTTTAAGTGAACAAAATTCATCAGAACCTATTACATTTGGATATAACTTTAAGGTAATCATTAATGAATTATTATCTATTGTACACTTTAATAGATTAAATTGTTTTATTTGTTTTTCTTCATGATTTACATGAACACAAATATTTTTTTAAAATATATATACAAATGGATTTGAATAATCGAATTCAACAATGCAAAAGCTGGAATCGCCTTCATCCATTGTATACTAATGAAATAAGACAATAAACAATTGTATTTTCCACAAAATGACCCAAGAAATAGTGGACAATAAACAATGTTTTATACAGATTCCTTGTTTCGAAATGGTGTACATCTATTTTTGAGAACACAAATATACAATGCACGGTAGAAGAATCACAGATTGCGAGAGCGCAGTCTTCTTGGCCCTGACGCTGAATAAAACACTGACAAGATATTTTATAATATTCGACTGATAAGTCATGACATTACATAGCAGTAGACTGCCTTAGATACCGTTCGACAGAGATAAAAAGAAATCTTTTCTTTTATAAAATATCTTCTTTCTCCATGATAGTCTTTGAGAATATCAATGCTCTCAAAACAGACTTATTTCAATGCAAACAAGGAAAGAGACTACCGTTAGTAGCTATTAGTACATCAATTGAAAAATTTCTTCTAGCGTTCTTGAGTTTGGTTCCTTGTCATTTTTTTTTTAATAATTTTAGTACAATAATATATTATCTAAACTATAATTTTACAGTGAAATTTTTTGAAAGTTCAATTATTAAGATTGTAATTTCATAAAAGAATCTCTTGATTAAAATTCTTTATTATTTTTGTGGTTAGGTTATCGTTCCAAAAGGATATCATTCCGGTGGAGCATCTTATGTATTAAGTCGAGAATCATTACGACGATTTTATGAAGCACACAAAAGTCGAACGGCAAATTGTCAAGAAGATGGTGGTAGTGAAGATGTTGTTATAGCTAGTTGTCTTCGTACACAAGGTGTTTATCCAGGTAAATCACTCGATAAACAAAATCGTGAATTATTCCATCCACTTCCATTTATTGACCATTTTCGGGGTTCTTTTCCTGATTGGCTTGCATCATATGCTGAGAATCCACTACAAACTGTAAGTTTATTAGAAGAATTTTTTTTTGTATTTCTTTTAATTCTTAATATATATTTACTTTTTAGCACTACGATTGTTGTAGTGATGAAACTATATCATTTCATTATGTTACTCCTGAACAACAATATCTTATGGATTTTCTATTATATAGAACTCATCCAAAATTAAATATAAATAAGTCAAATAGTTCAATGACATGAGTAGAGTCATGTAGTGATAAGAAACATTGGTGGATTTTATTTTTTATTTCTTTTTCTGCAGTTGAAAATAAGTTTTATGCTTCTTTCAAATTTTTATTTATAAGAGTACTAGTAATTTATGCTAGCATGACAAATATTCATGTTTGGAAAATCAAACAGAAATTAGTTTTAATAACACTCAGATTTCAATGAGTTATGCTTACAAACTTCTACTCTAGATGATTTGTCAAAAAATGATGCACTCAGCAAAGAGTATTAGATCAATTTACAGGACACAAACACCAAAAAACGCCTTCTTATAATAAAACATTTCAATAACACTTAAGATACTAAATAACATTCACAGACGCTCATAATCTATCTAATGATACGATTAAGCGCTATGTGTCAGCCACTATTTTTTAGTGTTTGTTCTCTATTAACATCTAATAATGACTCAAACATGTCTAAACACTGTTTCTAGTAGTAGGAAGGGTTTTACTAACACGTAAAACACTTAACTTATTTTTCAATATCCTTAAAAACATGCAACTAGATTCGCTATCATCTGAAACTTGCAGAAAAGTTGGAGACATCAAAAACTGATGTATTGCAGCTGAGTACAGAATATCATGCAGAACAAAGAAATTTCTCGTTTTCATTTTTGTTTTCTTTAAAATAGATATCAAAAAGAGTTCATCGATATTTCTGCGTCCAATACTTCGACACAGAGGCATTTTCATGCGTAACATCATCAGACTAAGATCTAACTCGAGTGTGTTTGTGGACTGCAGGTCTGGATGTAGATGTTTCCATCTAAACCACACCTTCAGCCAAACACAGCAATATCTCACTTACAAACATACTCGAATTAAAAAATTTTATTGAGGATATTATGAATACCAATCAGGTATGGATTGGATCCAAAAAAGTTTAATCAATTGGATTTGGGTCTGAGCTCAGCTGTGAACACAGTTAATGAGCGAAGTTTCAATCGGAATAGAGTTTGAAAGACGCTCCATAAATCGCGTCCGAGTTCCAGTGCAAAAATTTTGGAATCAACAGATTAAAATTCTCATCTCTATCCCACCACAACCCACACCTGAAACCGATAGACAAGAAGCTTCGAGATTTGAATCCTACGTGGACTCAAACAGATCCAGATAAGATTGTATGATATTCAAAAGGAAACAGTCAAACATGCAGTCCATACCCACACTCGACGTAATTCTTAGTACAATAGTGTCATGCGCGGAAATGTCAGTGTGGCAGTGTCATGAGCGGAACTATCGTGTCATCATCAATTAGTCATTTATTGTGTAGGCTATTTATTTCACGTCAGTTTCAGATAATATAAAAAACTTCTTTAAGTAATAATTTGTTTAAAAACAATACAAAGATACTGTCTAATTGGTCTGAATCGAAATAAACTCATTTTTTTTTGTACTACTTATGAAAGTAGCGTCATATTGAATAAATTGATCTCACCTATACCAGACGAGAATAGAAATTTCTCTTGATGGCTCCTGTAGAAAATTTTAATTTCGATCAATTGTTAGTTTGCATTTGTTAACTTCGAAATTCAAATACTAATGAAGATAATTCAATTTTCTTTTCTATTACATTTGTGATCACTACTATCATTTTCCGATTTTTCTCTACTCTCATTAGAATGTTGAACATATCTTATTCAATTCAATTGAACAGATGAGTGGGAAGATGTTAACAATTTCGAAAAATTAACAAAATAGATAAAGTTTTATGCATGAAAAATGTTCGATTTCTACATTTTAAGATGTTTTTGAAATAAAATTCCTAAGGTATTATCAATCACTTTTCTACGAATGAGTTATATCTGTTTGTGAGCATTCATTAATATAAAACGAATACTATTGATCGATCAAGATAGCGTTTCAAGTATTAATGAATTTTTCTGATAGAGTTTTTATTAAGACGCCGTTTTACTGTTACAGTTTTTGTCTATCTCAGGATGTTTTCAAGAATAAAATTAATTTATGTGTATAGTACAAAGTACATGACATGTTTTTCTGAGTATTGGTAAATACAAGCTATATGTGTACTACGTGTTGTTAAAATCCTTCTTGCTGTTAGTTAGAAAGTATTTAGACATGTTTGAGTTATTGTCAGATGTTTATGAAGAATAAATACTAAAGAGAAGTGACTGACACACAGCACTTATTTATCTCAGAAAATAGACTATGAACGTCTGGGAACATTAGTCGATATAAGTTGATTGTTATGGGCATGTCACTAAAGGGCTTTTGTAAATGTTAGAATATTGTAGGTTGATCTGATCCTTTTTGTTAAGCAAAATGTTTTTTTTTTTGATGACGTATGTAACATGAATGTTAGTGAAAATATTTTCAGTTCGATTTGAAACATTGAGTATTTGTTATGTTAAAATAATTTACTGATATTCTAATTATTTATATTGTTATTATTGTTTTGATTGCTTTGTTAAATATTTTGGTTATATGAAAATGACTTAGTGATGGTAACAAACATAGGAAATAAACAAACTCATAATACTATGATTAATTATTAGGTATTACAATAGCAAGTTGACTTCAGAAGTATTTTATAGATATCTTTGATTTGGGCTTATTTCTATCATAAAAAATATATCAAGCTTATTATCGTTTTATTTAATAAAACATTAATATGAATATTGCATTCACAAGAAAAAAAAACTTGACAAAAGCATTCAATTTAACATTTAAACGACTAAATCAGAAAAAAAAACTGAAATATTGACAAAAATTCTATTGATTTTTTTATTTTGCATAAGATATTGATTTAAAAAAATTTACTTTCAAGATTAACAATAACAGAATTGATTAATTTCATCCATTGTTGTAAATATCGAACAATAACTACTGAATGTATATGATGAGTAAATGATGGAGCAAGACGATGTTGTCTTGAAAAATTTATTCGACCAATTTCATTGACTGATTTCCATTTTTGAGAAAAAGCATTAAGGGCACTTCGATACCGACAAATTATTTCATATCTTAAAGAATCTTGTATTTTTTTAATTGATTGATCAATTGGGTCGGCATATTCAACTTTTAAATTAAGTAAATCCTCTATTGAATTATAATAGAAAAGCATAGCATTATGTGCTTCGAAAAAAAGTTCACGTAAAAATTCCTATTAAAAAAACAACACAAATAAATAAATATTATAAAATTTCCAAAAAAATTTTTTGCTTCAATACTTTATCAATATTATTAACTTGAAAAAATTCATTATGGTATTCTGGTATTGGTACATTAAATTGTGTATAATTAATTTCCATATTAACATGTAGATTAAGTGTTTCAAGAGCTTTTGTTTGTTCAATCTACAAAAAAAAAAAGATCAAATAATTAAAATTTTATTGTTTTTTTTTTTATCAAAAAGTATATTTACAGTTTCTTCTATTTCATGGGATGCACGTGCAATACCCTTGGCTACTGTTGCAATTATAGCTAATTCTTCTTTTATACATAAAATACTACCCATTGTTTTACACATATTATCATTATGTGATTGCCGTAAAGTAAATGAAAATACAGATGCAATTGATAGAAAAACAAGTATCAAACTTGATAGAGTAGACATGGTTTTAGCTAAATAGATATTCATTTCATTTCTGTTTTTCAAGTTGAAAAATTTTTTGTCTTACTAGTTGTCGAAATTTGAGACTAGCTCGCGTGTTAGATTGACGATCCACGCCGAAAATAGACACGAGATTCTAAAATTTACCACATATATATTGTAACATACCAATATAAATATTAACAAAAAAAAAGCAAAAATACCTGACTTGTTATTGATAGAAATGCGGTTGTTGCTCTACGATTCGCTAAAAATTAAATTTTATTATATACTACGTGGCAACAGCCCACTCATCCTCAATTAACGTTTTTTTGTAAATCAATATTGTGTCATGTCTGAAAATATTATTTTTTACAAATATCAGCTTCCCGAATACTTTGTTTCTTGGCTTTATGCGTGGTTATCTGCATATTTATCATTCGTTGAGATCTAGTTTTTTATTAAAAAGTACATTTCTATTTAAGTTTTCAATAGACAGATGTTGTCTGAGCATATAGGAAATCATCAATAGATTCAATATAATAATGTTATCGATAAGAAAATGTCAATATTATTCATGAAGGAGTTTGCAATGAGATCATTTAGTGGAGACAGTTGGTTAAGTTTTTACAATGGATTAAGAATTAAAAATCTTCAAATGAAATCATGATGAATGACTTTCAAAAAAATCGAAACAATAGCTAGCTTCACAAATCTTTTTATATCTTCAATAAATGAGTTCTGGATTGAGATTAGAATGATAGAAATGTTCATTTTCTTATCAACAACAATGCCGACGAAGATTTGAAAATAACTTAGTTGGATATTATACTTTTCAATTTTTGCAATTAATCAAATGAGATTTCATTTGATTTTATTTTTTTGAAACTTGATTCTTCGAAACTATTGTAAAGATCACAATAAAGAATCTTTCATGTAACATTCACTTCATTCGATTGTTTCTGATAAACTAAATCTGTTTTGTGTGGTTAAACGATTGAAAAGTTTTGAAAAAAAAAGACATTCGAACGATTTTATTACAGTTTTCGAAAAAGTTTTAATCGTTTTTAGATATTGCAATTGATAATTTATACGAATTTCTATCATATTGTATAAACTACTAGACTGTATTAAAATAAAATATTCAAAAAACGAATTAAAATTTGAAACATTGAATTAAGATTGCTTATTTTCATGAGAAGCATGATTATTCTCACAAAAATCCATCAGTATTTAAATTAGACAAATTTTACTCAATACATTACAATGTAAAGTTAATTTCATTTATTTTTCAGTGCACTCATAAGAGCAAATAAAAATTTAGATTGATAGAAATATATTAGATGGGTGAATGACAACTACTTGGTACGATTAAGATTTAAACGATATTTTGCTAATTACTTTTGTTCCTCCCTACGGATTCGGACTGTTTTGTTAATATGTTATTCTTCTTAAAGCATCCCACTGTCATATTAAATTTTAGCTCTTACTGTCACTGAGTTATGAGCCGTGTACTATGCCAAAAAATCTTACGGTTATATACAGAGACGTGTTGAAAAAACGAAATTTTCTCCGAATCGAAGAAAAGAATAAAAAAGATAATGAATTGTTTAGACTTTAGAATCTGAAATGTTCTATCGAGTCATATATCTTTCTAATTTGTCTCTCTCTCTCTGTTTCCATGCTCGTTCATTCCAATAACTGTATGACAAACATTTATTCGTTTTCGTGTAGACTGTCCTTATTTTTTTCAACTTTATTCATCCATCTATAAGCTAAAGAAAAGTAACTAAATGTGCTCAAAAGAAAGATCCCTTTGTAAAAAACAGCTCTATAAAGAAAACTTCTTCTGAACAACTTTTAAACATTCTAGTTTTACTCATTTTGTATATTGACTTTTTGATAGTTTCATTGCAAATAAATTCCGAACAACTTATCCATTTCGATCAAATTTTTACCATAAATATACTTCTTAGAATTGTATTTTCATTTACAAAGTCAGCTTTATAGCTCTTTCTATTATGGAGATTTTACATAATATAATACAATGTAAAAGGATATTTTTTCATTAAATTAACGTTTTTTATGGCACATTTGCATTGAATTAAGTTATAATTAACTCATATAATATGTAGCAAAATGTTGAAAAACTTTCACTACATAACAAGAGGCACAGTGTGTTATAAAATACATCACTAAGAAACTGTATAGATGTATTTTCAGTTTTTCGTATCGATCGTACCAAAAATTTGCAATTTTTTCATATATATATATATGTATCGATTTGTTTTATTCAAAAAAATAAGCCTCATAAGAAAAAATCACGTTTGACATTGAACAGACTGTTTTTCTTCTTGTTCTATTGAAGTGGGATTAAATATAGGTTGGAATATTCTATGAAAAGTTTTGTAAAACTCTATTGACGTCATATCAAAAGTCTAAAAAGTCCGAAGTGCCATATACTTAATAGATAGACATACTGATTTTGTCAGAGACATATACGTGACATCTCATATTTATCTATTTGCTTATTTTGACAAACAATATATATATATATGAAATAAGAGTTACATACGTCGTTTTCTGACAGTTTAATGAAAATTGAATAATAAAATGAATCATATATATTATCAAAAAGTGAGTAAGATAAGAATGTTTGATAAATGATTCTTTTTTGTCCTAAAATCAATGATTGATCGGTATTATTCAAAAATAAATGAGTCTAGCCTTTTAGGAAAACAAATATATTTTGAACGCCACAAATTAAGACATTTGAGTATAAAATTATATATTCGCATAAGGAAAAAGATATAGATGACAGTAAGGTTATACAGTATGATTATAGATAAAAATAAAACTCACGCTCATACTAGTAGTTACAGACTAGATTTTCTTGTATTATTACATGAACTTTATTGAGTGTGTTGATATTCATCACTTGACAATAAAAAAAAATTGTTCTCATGTATTATTATTATCCAGTACATTTAGATATGAAAAATTATTCTTTGGTGTAACATTGTCTTCAAATTTTTATGACAATAATCAAGATTGATTAAACTTAATATATTTTATTTTTGTTTATTGAGTGCTCAAAGTGTCGCTATTCATCTATAAGCTTTTCAAAAACATTCCAATGAACTTTTGTTGTTATTTGATATGAATAAAAGACGAATTTTTTTTCTCGACTAATCGATGTAATTTATTAATCATTTATTAAAAGCATTCACTAGGAAAACTATAACAACAGATAAATAATATATATATATATATATGGATTAAATAATCTTGAAAAATGAAAAGATAGTTCTAGTAGTGTAAAATTGTCAAAAATGAAAATAATATTAATTTAAATAAGTTTATATTCAAGAGTATCAATAACATCTTTGATACATCGCATCCATTTGCTTATTAATTGAACAATAATAATCAAATAACTATTATATTCCAATGATGATAACTCATGCATTTGTGTTTCTGTTATATCAATACCATTTATTTGATCAATTGTTGACCAATTTTCTGAATAAACACGTAAAATATTCATATAATTACATAAGATATCTTTTTGTAAAATGGTTTGAGTTTGATTAAATAAATTATCAAATTGTTTGCCTAATGTACTTTGAATATAACGTAAATTTTGCAAAGAATTATATAAATAACCAATAGCAAAATACTGTTCTTTAATTAAGTGAATAAAATCTTCCTAAAAGAAAATTGTTGAGGAATTTTTTTTTTCTTGTTGTTCGATTAAATAAATTCTTTTATTTTACTTTATCAATATTATTCATTGTTAATAATTGCAAATGATAATCTGATGTAGGAAAAGTTGAACGTAATATTGCTCTTTTATCTTGGATATTTGTTAAAAGACGAAGTTTAGTTTGATCTTGTTGAAACTGAAAAAAAATCGAGTAAAAATAAATTTAAAAAAACAAAAAAGTTTTTTCTAATCCTGAAATCATATTTACAATTTTTTGTTCAAGTTCAATCGCGGTTTTACGAATATCTTTTGCTGCTGTGGTAATATTTGTAAGTAGATCTTTAATACAAAGTATATGCGTAATTATACCACAGATATTTTCATCAGTTTTTTTGTTTTGTTCACCATTCACAGACAAAAGCATAATTAATACCACAATCAACATGAAAATACTGTATTTCGACATCTTTTTTTTTTTAAATTTTTGTTTCTAAACGAGAAGAATGAATTAATAAGAAAATGTATCAGAATTCTTTTTCAAATTAATATTCCCTTATCTTCGGTAGAAATAGGCTTTTCTTGTAGATTTATAATTATTATTTGAATTTCAGTATTCAACATAAAGTTCTATTGTGAAATTTTATCTTCAACTAAAACTTGCTCTACAAGTAGTATATAAAAATTTCTCAGCTAAAAAGAAACTAAATATTGAAAGAAAATTGATTTTCGAATTTTTTTACATGAATACACGAAAAAAGATTCATTTTGGTTGGAATTTTACGTTAGATCTATTAACAAGTAAGATTCTAGGGAGAATTTCTGTAGTACACTGGTTTTTGTTGCCAAATATATTGTACTAACGAGTGAATGTTCTCAGATCTTCACTTTCAATTTCAATGATTTTTTTTGTCTATAGCTACTACATTATGTTCTAATAAAAACATTAGAAGGATTTGAGTTTTTATTAGAATATCATCAAGTATCTATAGATTGGAAGTGGACATGCTGGAATTCTTTAAGATGATCATAAATGTTGAAGAAAGATTCATTGAGACTGTTGCTGATCTAAATGGAATTCACGACTATCGATAAAATTGAGTTGTAATTTGCAATTGATAATTTCAAAAATATATCTCACCGTTTTTAAATTAATATTGAAATATCGAGACCAGCTCGAAGGCGATCAATGTCAATAATAAAAAATTAAAAAAACCGAGAGAATAATCTATGTAAGAAAATCCCGAACTATTTATAGGAAAGATATAATAATGAGACGCAATAAAATCTTGATTACAAAAGACGCTAATCATGAATACTAGGAAATTGATTGATATGATTTTTTTTTCTTACTATATTATTTTTATTAAATAACCAGTAAAGATTTGTCATTACCTTAGAATTCTTATCATGCTAGAGTTGAAAAAATCATTTCTTGTATTTCAGATATGTGATTAAAACTGAAAAAACGGATGTAGGGCAAATATTTCTGTCGGCTTCTCCTGACATTTAACTTTATAGAGTAATTTTTTTAATGAAATAATGATCGATTGATGTCTACTAGCATATAGTGATCTTGCAAAAGACAGGAAATTCATGTTTTTATACAAAGAAATATGATTTTGTAAACAACTTCGAACTTCTAATAAATCGATTATCAGATTTTAATTGATAATCGGATTCAAATTTGATAAATTGTTAATACTTCTTGTTGAATACTAAATGTGAAGTGTTAAGATTGTATGAGTATCATTCAAACTATAAAGTTGTATGACTTTATTAACGTCGATCTGCTGCACTTTGCATCTCGTTCTCATAGAAAATCTAGTTTTTCGTAAGAAAAGTCAAAATTGAGTTGTTGTCATAAAAAAATCACATGATAGAAATATTTTAATCAACTTTTTCGATAAAACTTAGAGCCCTATTGACTTGTTCTTCAAGAAATATTTGTTATCTTTTTTAAATCATTTCATTTTAGAAGAAATTATCTTTAACTTTGTACCGACATAGAATAAAAGACTTATATGAGCTATCAAGTACATACCAGCAATCAGAATAAAGACCATATGTTTATTATCTACTCTCCAATATTGAACACAATAAGTACTTAATTACTTTAGTTGAAAAATAACCTTTTTTTTTTTTTAGAAAACAATCAAACGTGATATAGGCTATTCTGGAATATCACGTTCATTTTTCAGAAGCAAAAAAAAACGTCTGGCATTAGTGAGTACGTTTTTACCTTTTCATATATTCACTTGTTGATCAAACAAATGTTTCAAACATTTTCAACTTATTAGATAGATGATGTATTCTAATTCAATGATAGATTTCCCATGTTCAATTGTTTTTCATGAATAGATTCAAGTCTTTCATATGGAAAAATAGTCCCAAGTTATTAATAGTGATAAGCACTTTTTTGTGTTTGAAAAACTTCGACAGGAATTATGTATCGTTGAACAACGAAGTATAGGGAGATAAGAAAATGTCTTTTGAAATTTTTTAATTATTAGATGTTTGGCTTTTCTAAGGAAAAAAAAATAAACAAAACTGACTACACATGATTAACAATTGAAGAAATAAGTTTTTTTTTATATTTAATTTTTTTCATGGAAGTCACAATTTCAATAACTAATAAAAAAAAAACAATCAATTTATTGTAACAATGTTTTGTATTTAACATATCGTTTAAAACATTAATAGAAATAGGATAATAAAAATGATCAATAGAAAATATTACTATGATCATCAGTAGCCTCTTGTTCAATAGATTATAATGTCTGCAATGATTTCAAACAAAGATTTTATTATTAATATTGAGTTATCAAGTAGAGACGTATATTGAATTAATTATATAACTCATTTAAACTGTTTTCATGTTCATTAAAAAAATACACTCATATATCCTGAATTTTTTTTCGACTAATAGATTTCTTCAGTGATATATTTGGTTCTGATGAAAATATTTTTAATTTTTATTATCTTTTATTTTTTGTCATGTTTTGTCATCATTCATGTATATCACAATTACCATACAACGTATCCACTAATAATCCACATGATTTTATTTCTTTTGAAGACGGATATTTATTTTCAACAGACGAATTCATTGATGAACATTCAAACTCTTCAGTGTTAAATACAACTTTGAATAATAATCATTTTTGATTACAAAATAAGAAACATTCAAATCGAAAATTTCGTGTTAGAAAAAAAAATTTTACATCATGAATTATATTTGTCTGCTAGTTTTCTATAAGTACACTATAAGTAAAACGTCTTAATTATATTTAGTATAATGGGATTAGATTAAATACAGACTCTCGTCAATAAATTTGATTTATTCAAATTTGTAACAATGCTTAGATGAGTAACAGAATAAATAAGATAAAAATTTTTCTTTTTCATATAATGATATAATCTATTAAGTAGTAAATATTAGATTATCATCAACAATATAAGCGTAAAATGAGCTGTCAACTTTTTTTTGAATAAAGTAATGAAATGATAGTTAAAAAAGCTGAACAATATTTGTACTGGTGAGACAGTTCAAATGAATTATAAACTTAGATTTTTAGAATCATTTAACTGCAGTATGTATATAATTAAAATTCAATGATATGATACCATAATTCGAGGTTTATAATGAATTAAATGACTATGTGTTGATAATATGTTACCTTCTTATTTGAATTAATCTCGTGATGGAGAGAATTTAATCAATAAAAAGAAATAAAAAATGAGTTTCGCTTCTGATTTTTTTTTGCGATGTTTTATTCAGAAACAAAAATAATATATTTTTAATCTCCTTGTGATCGTATATAGCTGCTCGCTAGAAATAAACTGCTATCAGCTAAAACAGGAGTTATGAAGTAGGCATTTATTGTTGTTGTTGTTTTTTGTGTATATGCTTAGATCATTTCTCACGATGCAGCTTGTTGATTTGAATTAGGTCCGCGACGACGACCAAATGAAGCAACCTTGTTAACAAATCGTTGCTTGTATTGAAGACGTCGTTTAGCACGACCAGTTTTCTTCTTACGTTTTTCTTGTTTAGCTACCTAGAAAATTTCAATAATAAATTATTTTCTTTATTCAATAAACAGTTAAAAGTTGATTTTACCTTTGGTGTTTGACCTTTGACTTTACCAGCACGAGCTAATGAACCATGAACTTTACCACCAAATAATTTGATAGTAGCATCAAGGGTTGAACCTGGTATAAGTCCAAATTGTTCAACAGTTTGTTCGTCATTTAATGGTGTTCCATTGTAACTTAATACAAGTTCATCCATATCAATGTCATATTCTTCAGCGACATATTCCTGAAAAATTAAAGAAATAATTTCAATTTTAATACTTGATTGTGAAAAAACAAACGTACACGAATGTCTTGAACAGTATCATCTTTTTCAAGATCGAGCGGTAAGAGCTCAGCAGCACCACGAACAAAAATTTGCATGATTGTTTTTCAATATAATAACAAAAAAAGTCGACGAACAATCTAGAGTGAATAAACAGATATCTTATGATGTATTTAAAAGCAAAAATATTTCGCAAGATGGTTAGATGAACTAATAACTATTTATTATTTAAAAAACTATTCTCCATTGGTTAATCCATGGAATAAACAACTATATGTATAAAAGATAATCATTATTTTTAAATATATTTAATATTTTTTATTGAGAATATTATTATTAAATTAAGAATTAAATTCAGAAAATAAAAGAATTCAAGTAAAGCGACATCTATTTTCTTTCATAGATAACGCTTGATAACAGTTGTTAACAACAAAATTTATATAGAGAACAATTTCAAGACATACATTGTCGTTACATTAAAATCATCTGAGGTCGCCAGGGTTGGAGGATGAGTCAACGGTTTTTGCTAAACTTGACCGAGTGTTCGAGAGAGAGACGGTTGAAAGTTGTCATCGAAATTGATGGACAAAAAAGAAAATAGCATGCTAAAACTTTTCTAGAGAACAACGAAATTTTTTCAAAATTCGAGAGTTATACTACTGCATAAAACAATTTTGAAATTCTGCGATGACTTTAACATTGTCATTCTCTTAGATAATGTACCCCACATTGTGAGAAATATGAATTTTATTAAAAAATAGAACTTCTCACTCTACATAGCATCAAAAAAAGAGGGATTTTGTCAGGTTTATTTATGAAGAAACAGGAAGTTGGTAGTTTGAATTAGGTCCACTGCGGAATCCGTTAGGTGAAGCAATTTTGTTGGTGAAACGTTGTGCATATTGTTCACGACGACGTGCACGGCCGGTTTTCTTTTTTGGTTTTTCTGTTGGAGCAACCTTTTAAATATAAAATTTAGAAGTATACTACGGACTATCATGATTTATGAATAGAATATTTACTTTTGGTGTTTGTTTTTTAACTTTACCAGCCTGGTTCATTCGTCCATGAGTTTTTCCACCTAATAATTTAATATTAGCATCAATAATTGTACCTGGAACAAGATCGAATTCTTCGATTGTTTGTTCATTATTTAATGGTGTTCCATATAAGCTCAACAGAATATCATTTACAGCATAACCAGATTCTTGAGCAATATATTCCTGAAACATTTATATGATTAATATAGAATTCTAAAATGATTTAATCTTACATAAACATCTTGAATGCTATCGTCTTTTTCAACATTGAATGCCAATACTTTGGCAGTGCCACGAACAAAGATTTGCATGTTTGAAGCTGTAGAGCTAGCAAAATAAAACTGTGATACGAACTCTTTCAAGAGTAAGATCCTCTTAAATATCCTTGATATTACATAGTTTCATTTAAAAATTTCGTAACTTTAATTATTGCGAAATTTCATTAAATAATCGTCATCGCATATATTTCAAAAAAAAAATGATTCATTCGTACGACATCTATGCGTAGGAGTCATGTATATTTCATTATTTGCTACTATTTTTCTTGACAATTATACCAGTGATAAGAAGAATACTTCAACGTAACTTTAAATTAAAAATTTCAATAAGACTAATTTCCGATGGATGTTACTAGGCAACCAAGATTAAAAAGTTGCCATCAAACGGAACAAGAAAGACAAACAGAATAGCAACAGTATCACTTATTAGTGCCTCTTGACAACTAGGCGACGAGTATTAAATAGAAGAAAAATGGAAGGACTGCCGTGTTTACCAGGAAATTCATTTCGTGATCCAACAGTATGTATCATTAGCAGATGTTTTTGTTATGTGTTTTTTGTTATTTATAATGCAAATATTTATATTTTAGCAAACTAACTTTCATGTTAGTCACACGCTCGATGTAAAAAATGGTCACCGAGTTACTAAATGGCCTCAAGTAGGGTTAGGTAAGAGAAAAAGTATTCTATTAATTATTTAAAAACCAATATTTTAACCAACGTGAGTGTCGATAGGTCGACACTGCTCCATAAATCATCAGTGTAGCCTTCCCGAATTTTATGATTATAATATCATGTACAATATGTCCATGTACCAGAAAAGTTGAACATTGACCCTCTCCAGGATTATAATTTGATTGTTCGAAAGAAAAATTCTGGATAAAACACAATTCTAAACTATGCATTAGATATCGAAAGTTAATATTTGTCTAGGTTAATTTTGCAAATGAAAATAGATATGTCCAATACACATCAATCGAAATAACAGATTTTTTTTTTCTTCTAGCGTAGTTTTAATATTATTTTATTGTGCAAAGTAAATCAACTGTAAAGGATAAACGATCGGTGAGATACTAATCAGATTAATATAAATAGATTTGTATAAATCTATAAATTTTTTTTCTTTTTATTTATAATAAATCGGATAAACATCATTGTTCTTTTTCAGGTGGTACACGTATTAATTATAATCAAATTAGTGAAGATGAATTAGAACTTCTTCGAAATTATCGACCAGAACTTTTATATGGTAAAGCAGTTGTTCAAACACCAGATAAATTTGTTCCAGCTACATTAGCATTTGATAAAAAAGTTCTTCGTTTTTTTGGTTATTTTAAACAAACAATTCATGAAAGTCCAAATGAATATTTTCGTGTACGACCAGTTAAAATTCTTTATTATCTTGAAGATGATAGTTTAGAAATACTTGAAGAAGTTCAAGAAAATAGTGGTATTCCACAGGGTAAATTAATTCGTCGTCATCGTTTTCCAAAAAATGATCAAGGTGAAACATATAATTTTCGTGATATTAATCTTGGACAAAATTTAGCTGTTTATGGAAAAGTATTTCGTGTATGTGATTGTGATGCTTTTACTCGAGTAAGAACAAAAAAAGAAAAAGAAATTTATTCATAGAGAAATATTATTTTCATTTATTATTTATTTTAGGAATGGCTTGAAAGTGAAGGTATTCATGTAAATCAATCAGAATTAATACCACGTGATTCATATTTAACAAAACGACAACAGGCAGCTGAACTTAAAACATATAAAACAAAAAATGATTTCGATAAACTTAAACAATATGTTGAAATGGATCGAAAAGTTTTACGTTTTTATGCTACATGGGATGATCGATCACAAATGTTTGGTGAAAAACGTGAATTTGTTATTCAATATTTTTTAGTTAATGATACAATGGAAATACGAGAAGTACATAAAGCTAATGATGGTCGAGATCCATTTCCTGTACTTATAACACGTCATAAAGTTCCAAAAAATCGTTATGATATCAAAGGTTAGTCTAATAACAGAGCAAATCTCATATGTTCGAATATTACAGTAAGAAGATTAAATCAAATTGCGGACGTTAGCATCTTAGAACGGGTTCTACTAAACGAATGATGAACAATAAACTTAATCAAATGAGTATTGCTCAAATGAATCAATTGGTTTCTCTATGTACGATTTAAGAGCGGATGTAGATGGAGAAAAGACTCATCTACCTACACACTCTCAAAAGTTTCTTCAGCGGAGAGTCCATCCAACGACGGAAGTGTTCGGGTTCCATTGTAAATAGTTTCAGACTATTAATCAATTAAAATAAAACTCATGTAAATGAAGACAACAATCAACCTTCTTTGATTGCTCATATGTCAACTTGAAATAGGAATCTAATATACTATAATGAAAAAAAAAGAATTTATCATAGATTAAATTGAAATTAGAATATATTTTTTAGGCACATTTCCACATGTATTTCTTGAATTAACTGATACTGAAATAGCTGATTATTTTAAACCATCAGATTTAATGATTGGAAAAACTGTTAATATTTATGGACGAAATTTTTTCATATATGATTGTGATGTTTTTACGAAAACATTTTATGCAAAAAATTTTGGTGTTAATAATTTTGAACCAATTAATGTTCAAGAAACACGTAGTGAATTTTCTAAAATGGTAAAATTTAAATATTTTTCTATTTGATTTTTGAAGAGAAATATATATATATATTATTTTTAGGAAATTCCTCCATATAATGGATTTGGTTCATTAGAAGATTCAATGCAAAATTGTTTACGTCTTCAACCTGAACGACCGAAAAAAGATTATGTTAAACTAATGGAGAATGACCATCGTATACTTCGTTATGAAGCTGTTTTAGTATGAAACAAGAAAAAAATGAAAAGCCATTTTTGTGTTTTATTTTAAATATCATTTCTTTTAATAGGATAGTCCACGTGAAGATGATAAATTACGTAAATTTATTATCAGTTATCGTCTTGGTGATGATACAATCAGTATTCATGAACCACCTCAACGTAATTCAGGTATTATTGGTGGACGATTTCTTGAACGAACACGTGTTTCAAAACCAGGTAAATTTAAATCAAACTATCTTACATTAAGATAATATTAATTTTTGTTTTTTTTTTTTTTTTATCTTTCAAAAAGGTTCTTCACTTGAACATCCTCAATTTTATGGTCCATCTGATTTTTATATTGGTGCAACTATTGAAATATTTCGTCAACGTTTTATAATTCGTTCAGCTGATTTATATGTATTAAAATATGCTGAAGAACATCCTGAACAATTTACACCAGCTGTTATTGAATCATTACGACAACATTTAAGTAATGAACCTGGTCGACCAGATGCACGTCTTAGTACAAATATACATATACAACGTAGACCAGGTGATTTTATACGTTTATATGCTGAAGTACGTAATAAATTAAAACATATGCGTATAACAAATCATGAAGAAATTCGACAAATGTTTTTACGTTATGATAAAGATCGAAATGGTTTTATAGCTCGAGAAAATATCTTAGATTTATTTCGACAAATTAATTTACCACTTGAAAATGATCTTATTGATGCGGTAAGAAATAAATCATACGAAATTATATATGTATTATGAAATATTTATTTATTTTTCTATTTAGATGATTGCTGAATGTACGACAAACAGTGAAGGAAAAATAAATTTATATGATTTTTTACGTTTTTTTGATAGTTAAAAAAAAACAAAGAAAAACTGATAAAGTATTCTC